ACATGTATGTCTCTCTCTCTCTCTCTCTCTCTCTCTCTCTCTCTCTTTCTCTCTCTCTCTTTATCCAAACATTCAGGACAATTCAGGCTTGACAACTTAATAGCCTGTCTTTAATAAAATCACTCATTCGTGGTAAAATATCACAGAGACAGATCACGCAATGTCATAGATCAGGAACAATTTATGCCTCGTCCCCCAGCTTGAATAAGCGTTTCTCTTTACCTCCCGCGTCTTCGTTCTTTCTTGCCATTAGGCACTGCTGTATTATCTAACCATTTTTATTGAACCTTTGACACCTACAAATAGTGACAAACACCCTGACGGGAAAGACAAAAGAGGACTCATGTAGAGTAGATGAAAACCTTACAGAGCAATAAACGCTCAGATCAGGTTCACATTGCTCATGTCCGTTAACAAGATCGATTGAATATTTAAAAAATATAAAAAATAGTTTATTACATGAGTTATGGCTGTAGATCATGATTTTGCATAAGAGGGAAAATAGCCAAGTTGTAATCGTGGGTTACAATGAGAGATTACAGCTAGCAATTTCACTAATAGGATCAATTATAGTCTACCACCATAACCCATGCAATTCGTTGTTTATACCACAATATTGCATTTTACGCCCCTCTCGATACAATTACAGATCATTTAGGGGGCTGGCTGCTTTTTCCCAGCCTGGGCGGAACACGGCACCCCAGAGGAACACGGAGACACTCGATGAAATACTTCATTTAATAGTTGACTTCCCCATCTGAGAATCGAACTCACATCTTTTGAGTGCAAAGCTGAAGAGTCTCACTGTTATACCAAAATCGTCGGTTCGTTAACGAGAATTTAAAAAAGTGTATTATAGTTTTCTACTCAGCTGACTGACTACGGAATAAAAGCTAACCTAGAAGGATCAAATCATAGAAGTAACGAAAGAAGAAATAAGAACCTAAATCTGTGTTCGTGACAGCGAGACAAAGAATGTGCTGTTTTTAGAACTGTATTATAAGGAGATAATAACCATCATGTTTTACCTGGTTGTAATTTCTAGAGCAAGAAAAAAAAAAGATAACTTTTCTGACAAAGCTGTATTGTATTCAAGTCCTTTGAAACAGCACGCTTCGGCAGGGTTTCCTCAACTGTATCGAGATTTAAACATGTTGTCTTTGTTTTTCCTAAAGGACAGTTTGCATTTGCTAAAAGAAAGACTGTTGCAAATATTGACACTTGCCAAAATGGGTAATTGTAACTGTAATGTTTCACAACCCCTAACGACACAACTAAGATCAGTAAGGAAAGGAAGCAGCCTGTTTGCTATTTAATGACGTGGTTATGTTGTATCATACAGTATGTAAGGTTTCTGCATTTACGGTTGCTGCGTGCGGTTGGAATCATCATCATCATCATCATCATCATCATCATCATCATCATCATCATCATCATCATCATCATCATCATCATCATCATCATCATCATGGTCGTCATCGTCGTGGTCGTGGTCGTGGTTGTCGTTGTCGTTGTCATCATCTCTATGTCACCGAGTTGGGGTATTATATATTACTATTACCCCTGGGATGAAGAACAAGAGAACCTGATGTCTAAAAGCTCACTCATCCAACGTAGCACTCAATAGTTACTATTTGGGCTTTGATGTTTTTAGAACTGTCAAACTGTAGC